GTTTATCTCAGAGAGTTTGAGGATTTGATGGCTCAGTTTTCTATTCATCTTCTCCTCGTACTTTAAGCAAAATTTTTAGATTGTTCTCTGGTTCGTTAGAAACCGATTCTATTACATCAGCAGCATGTCCACGAAATGAAATTTATCATATTGATTAAATTCATTCTTACGGCTGTGTTGGCAGACTGCGGAGCGTCTGTTGAACATCCTCAGGCTTAACAAAGTTAAAAACAGTGTTTTCGAGTTCTGTAAGCAAGTTGGTCGTCGTGACACCTGGGCACATGACAAGAACGCGAACTCCGGTGTTATCGTAGTGAGTCTAAAGTGACAAGTACAATGTCATGACAATATTTCCAAAAAGAAAAATCAATAAATCAATCTTTGGGATTAATTGCACTTCGTCGGTAGTATGTTTACCTGTAGACATCGACTGAATGCCATAACGTCCCATTTACTGGAACAGTACACCGGGATAATCGGGAAGAGTTGGAAACCGACGATCGACGAAATGTTCACAATAGTTCCACCTTTGCCGCCTTTGTGTTTGCCCATGAGTTCCATGGCGAGCAACGAGCCCTGGATTAGACCAGTCTAAAATTCAAATAATTAATTGATTGATCATTTCGTTCGATTCGTTTACGTAATATTTAATTTCACAATAAATGAGATATGAATAGTTGAGTCATTCTCATGTTGCAAATATCGTTACCTATAATTAACAATTTTAATGTACTTGACTTTTTTTAAATGCTGTTTTTGTAGAGGCATTAAGATGTGTCTTACTCGTTTGTTTGGTGTCAAGGTGCGAGGACATCACTTCTTGAGCAAACGTATCATTGATATTATTACATGTATTATCGTTATATAATGAGAGTTTAAAATTGAGATCAATTTGCTAAAGTCTTGTATTATATCCTTCTTATATAAATGAGAATATAAGGATTAAAATGGATGACTTTTTGCGTTTATTATATTGCAAATATACTTACAACGTTGATATTAACAGTTTGCTGCCACTTGGTGTCGTTACATATACCAGCATTGTTAATAACAATGTCCAGACCGTTCAACGCGTTCCAGACCTTCTTGAATGCTTCTATAAAATTGAGAAAAAATAAAATCAAACTATGTTTTATTTCTTCCAATTCACATTGACTGTTTATTCGCTATAAACAAAAGTGACGTGCCCGTCAATTGTTGTACGTTGCTGACGTCGCAGGGACAGAATATTGCTTTTCCCTTGCCGAATTCTTTTTCCAAATTCGCTGCCGTCGTTTGTCCAGGGGAACTGGCCAAATCAAGAATAGCGACAGCCTAACAGATTAAATAATGTCAACATTTCTGAAACTATAATCACGATATCCATAATATTGCAAATATAAATTTACCTTCGCTCCATTTTGCAACAGTTTCTGAGCATAATCGAAACCGAGCCCGCTGGCTCCTCCGGTGATCAAAGCAGTCTTGTTCTTAATATTGTTCATGATCTAAATTTAAATTCAATTGAAAATAAAGAAAAAAAACGAGATGAAGAACATGGAATGCTCAAGTGTTATTTGTCAAATTAAATTGAGGCCAAATGGAAATTGTTATTAAAAAAGAGATGTTATTATGCTATTAGAAATTATGTTATTAGAAAAGAAAATTGGGAATATAGAGCGAAACATGAATACAGGAATACATTGAAACACTTACCAAGCTTCTTGTAGAGTACGGCTTGGATTTTAAAGCGGACGATGCGTACAGCGGCGTTTGTAACGAAGAAGTAAATCTCTCCTTGTCGTCGGGCCAATATTAAGGGACCTCGGTATCTGTGTTTGACGGGTGTTGAATACCGTGATTCATACACAGACATGCGCGAGCATACCCACACATTCAAATAGACGTGATAAGCTGTTTTAGTTTTTAAACCAGCTGTAAAAATTAATTTCGCGATAAAAGTTCGCCACGTGTACATGCCTACGTACGTGTACAATTCGATAAAGGTAAATAACATCACGGTGGATACAAATTAATTGCAAACAATTTATTATATTTGTCCTTATACTTTTTGCCTTTTTCATAAATAAAATTAATTTTACATTACATTGAACATTATACTGCTGTTTAATAGAATATTACATATTTTTTTTTTTAATATAATTATATATTAATAGTTGTTGAACATTTCTTATATACGTGGATTAATCTAAGGAAACACTGAAAGTTTAGTTGGTAACTTGAAATTGAAAACTTGTGTAAGCGTATCAATACTTTGAATATTTCTCGTATATATGTCTCTTGGACATTAAATGAATAAACAAGTTACCAGTATGTGTTATTAGTATTTATTACATAATTTAGTATTAGTAGTTGAATTGAATTAGCAGTTAGTGGATAGTATCGTCAAAAACCAAAGTTCCTCTCTGGTTTTATGTAACGCTTATATAGGAACCTTGAGGGTAGTGTAACTAGGTATCTCGATCGCAAAAGGGGGTTGATTATTCTCGATGACGAGAATTGCCCCATTCTGTCCCTTCTCGATAAGCTCGATGATAGCACTTGCTACGATCTCCGGCCTGTTATCAACACATTAATCAAAATTGAAAAATGAAAAAAGGCTAAATTAAAGCTATTTTTAAAATGTTGAACCATGCTTCAAAATCTTTTGAACTTTTACAGATATCAAGTATCAACAACTGTGACAAGTTGGATTTACGTAATACAGAATTATAATGATTGATATTCTCAACTGTCTATAAAATAAATTGTCGATTCTCTTAAATCAATTTGCGAATGCATTTAGGCGAAATAGTGTTTTGAAATCCGTAATTTACTAATTTCATAAATGAATGCTTCTTACGGCTGTTTTTGCATGTTCTGCATTGCATTTGCTGCAGTTTCCTCGTCGAGAAGATCCATGGCGTGCTCTTTGGTGGACATAAATCTGGCGGCCATGGCCGTGGTCGTCAAACCAGGACAAATCGTCAACATGCGGATACCGGTTTTCTCGTAATAATGCTTTTCCGTGCATAAAACAATTTGTTTCGTTAAAATGACAAACGTGACAAGGCGACATAATGAACACAATATTTTCCATTCACAAGCGAGGAATCTTAACGCTACATGTATGTACCTTGCGTTCATTTACATTTGTTTTGTAGATATGCAAATGTAATAATTTACATCGGCGTCTGCATAGGACAGACTCATATTAATTATACCGATTGGAACAATGAAGGAAAACAAACGTATCAGTGTTTGTTTCCTCCACAAATTTTCCGATATTTTTCTTCTCCAGTGGTAGAATAATTATTGTCGGATTCATTTTACCTTCAATGATTGAGTGAATCCCACGATAGCGTACTGCGTCCCGCCATAAATCGGTGCTATGGGGATGCCTTCGAGGCCAGCCACGGAGGACATGTTGACGATGGTACCACCGGTACCGCCCTTGTACTTTCCCATAGTATGCAATCCCAAAATCGTTCCATGAACGATGCCTTTCTACCAAAACGAAAAAAGACGTTTTGAGCATCAAACTCCAGTTAATCTTTCTGAATATATAAAAGAAAAAACATGAGCATAATGAAAAAGAAAATGAACAGCATTTTTGATTAGAGTTATATTAGGAATAAAATTATTTCGCAGTATTTGGAGATAGGATAAAGTCACTAATAATTAACTTACGTAATTAACATCGACCATAATCTCCCAATCCGCGTCGTCCATGATGCCGGCAATGTTTACCAGAATATCTAAACTCTCGTACGTGTCGATAACTTTTTTGAACGACTCTGTGTGCGTGCATTACTTGTATTAAGATCAACGTGTTGGCGTTATATTGACGCGCGATAAAGTATAAACAGTTGATACAAGATTTTTCTTGTCACATTATGCTATGATTACTTTACTACGCTATTCTTGGAAATGTGATATTTTGATAAGTAGAATAAATACTATTTTTCCTCCTGACATCTTTAAGCTACTACTAATCCAGTACAAATAAGGATAAAGAGTTATTTGTGAAGGTAAAGATTACTTTTTAATAGTTGCACGTAAACAATACGTCACGTAATCGTCAGAACACTGTCCAACTTCGTTAGGAATACCAAGATCATAAATTTTGTTTATAGATACTTACCTTTAAGCTGTTCGCTTTTCGCTACGTCGCAGGGGATAAAAATTGCACGCTCCTTTCCGAATTCATTATTCAAATCTGCAGCTGCGCTCTCACCGCCTGAATCACTCAAATCCAAAAGAGCCACCGCCTGAAATAGATGTGTAAATATTCCTCGTTTCCGTTTATTTTCCTCGTTTCCAGTACGAGGATTTTGCTTAATGTTCTTAAAATCGCTAGTACCATTGTTGATATCCTTCTTTCCCCTTATTTTTGACGAAAATTACCTTTGCTCCATTTCGCAAGAGTTTCCGAGCGGTGCAAAAACCAATTCCGTTCGCCCCTCCGGTGACGATCGCGATCTTACCCTCGATGTTCATCATCGACCGAACCGTGAAAAACAAAGAAAGGGCACTCTTCTTATTTGCTATCAGTAAACAGTTATATAGTACGTATAATTGTAAGACTGCCGGTGGTTTCCGCGCGGTGCTCGCGCGATACCTGGCGATGCTAATATATTGTGTATGGGGATCTCGGTGATCGCGTTCGGTTTGCCGGTGACCGAGATTGAAACACGAGAAATCGAGAATCAATCGTAAAGGGATTGAATGTCTTTACGCTGATATATCCGTCTGTTCGACGTAGTACGCGACCGCGGGTAAACAGGATCGAATTTACGCCGATCCGGGGAGAAAAATTCGGCACGAGGTTGGCTCGTACGCGTCCGCGTTTATTTCTGTCACTCCATGATTTATCAAATTACCGCGTCGCGTTTCAGTTATTGCCACCGAGTTTCCTTGGCCAGGATAAGAATCTCAAGCAGGATTCACGTACATTCTCGCTGGCAAGAATGCTTCTTGAAAGACAGTCATGAAAATCAAATGTGATTAAAGAATAATATGGCTTTGATATTATGGAATGAAGAACGATTTATAATACTTTTTTTAATGTTTTGACGCAATTGAAATATTCCGTAAAATAGATGAAGTTTAAGAGGTATGTATTTAAGGATGTGTAGGCTATATTCTTAAACAATGCTAGCATGTTGAATTTGTTATTATAGATTCCTATTACTATTAAAAAGC